GAGGACAGCCCCTCGTCCTCCTCGGCGGGGCTGGACAAGGGCCAGCGCTCTGTCATCAAGCCCATCAGCATTGCCGGGGGCTTCTACGGGGAGGAGCCCCTGCACACCCCCATCGTGGTGACCTCCACGCCTGCCATCACTCCGGGCACCTCGAACCTCGTCTTCACCTACCCCAGCGTCCTGGAGCAGGAGTCGCCCGCCTCGCCCTCCGAGTCCTGCTCCAAGGCTCACCGCAGGAGCAGTAGCAGTGGGGACCAGTCCTCAGACTCCTTGAACTCCCCCACCCTGCTGGCCCTGTAACCAGCGGCCGGGGGTCCTCATCGCTGCCTCCTCCCCTGGGACCAGCACCTTCCAGCGCTCCGGGGGGCTGCGAGGGCACGAGGGGGCCCTGCCAGCGAGCTTCCTGGCTCTGGGACCGAGGAGGCGCGGGCATGAGGCGCTGGAGGACCGACCTGGGTGAGATCTCTGAGAAGTCATGAAACCTCCTCCCTCGTCCATCTTGCAAAGCGAATCCTGTTTCTTGAAACGCCTTGGAGAACTTGGTGGGCTCGGGCAGCTCTCCGGCTTCTGAAGCGCCTGAAGCTGGTGTGGACCATTCCTGTCCCTTGGTTACGAAACGTCTCTGGAGTGATGGTGCCCTGCCCTGCCCCACCGAGCATGCCCGTGGCCTGTTGGTTTCACCTTCCCCCTATTTGCCCCTTCTACCCCCAGTGTCAGTTTCACTTCCTCTTGGTTTTTATCAAGTTTGCCATGACATTTCATCTGGGTGGTCTGACTATTAAAACTTCGTTTCTGGAGATGGGGCAGCAGGTGGCTCTTCTGCTGGGGCGGACTGTCCAGAGGGGACAATGTGCAATACGGAACCTTCCTCCCCGACACTCCCCGTCACCGCCATCTCCAGGGGTCCCGGCAGCGCTCCGTGGGCTCTGGAGGAGATGCACCGGCACGAGAGGCTCAGAGCACCTCCCTCCCCACCATCGGGTTCGGCTCTCGGCTCTGGCGGAGCGGCTTGGCCAGAAGACAGGGTGTGAGGGAGACAGCCAGGGCACAGGTTGTGTTTGCCAAACGCCTAATTAACAGGCCAGGAATAGTGCCAACAAGCCACACGGTGTTCTCGCGGCTTCCTTCACCTGCTGTCTTGAGCAGGACGTCTCTTGTAATTACTGCCTCGCCTCTCTGCCCCTGGACCCTTCTCTGCAGACCAGGGAGGTGTCCCTCCCTCGGAACCACACGTCACTCCTTGTCCCAGCGGCTCTGCCCTCCCCACCCTGGCTCCTAGGGTGACGCCACCCACAGAGATTTAATGAGCTTGGGCCTGGACCCTCCCCAGGTGGCTGCAGGTGGCCCCTCCCCAAGCTTCAAAGGCACCTTCGCTGTGGATGGAAGGCAGGGGAGGGAGGAGGCGGCCAGCGGAGTGGGGTTTGCCTCACACCTGCCCTGGTACCTGGCCTGCCCTGTCCTGGCTGCTCATCTCTCTGAAGTGCCCATGGCCATTGGATGGGTCAAGTGCTTTCTCTTTAGACTCCCCATCCCCCTCACCCCAGTGTGCTCTTCGGGTCCGACGGCTTGTGCACCATTCCCGGGGGCTGCTGAGATGCGAGATGAGCTGAGATGCTCTCACTGCCAGATGCAGCTGCCCCCTTCCCACAGCGGGAGGGGAGGGAAGCTCCTCTGGCCCTGAAGAGCAAAGCTCAGCGTGGCCCCTGCCGGCCGCCCTCCCAGCCTCTTTCTCAGAGCCTCCTTGGCTTCTGCTGGGCTGGCGCTCTGAGGGAGCCCCCGCTGTCCTGACCCAGCTCTAGAGATTGTTGTATGATCATTTAAACTATTTCCTGTTATTTAAATCAAACCCAGTGGGGGGTCAAAGGAGAGAGCAGTGGCACTTAGAGCTCACCTGTTCTTCACACACCTGGGCCTCTGTGCTGGTCAGTGTCATGTCTGTCGCCTACTAGACACAAGAGTGGGATGGTGTGTGCTTAGAATGCACAGCCCGCAGGGACTGGAAGCCGTGTGTGGAAGGAGATGTCAAGAGAAAAGGATGTTGTCTGAACATACTTTACAGATGCCATTTCCCACAATCCCTGGCTGCGATGCTGCCCTCCGCTTCCAGAGGCTCAGGGAGGGGTGTGCCTAATTAGAAGGGCCAGGAGGGTTTCCAGCTTCAGGTTAATCAATGAAGCATTCGGCCAGGGGGAGCAGGAGTCGGCAAAGAAACAGGTGCCCAGCTCGGAGGAGCTGCTTCATCTCAAGTGGTGTTTGTGGCCAAGTGGGAACTCTTCTCTCTCTCTCTCTCTCTCTCTCTCTCTCTCTCTCTCTCTCTCCTGCTGCTTTCTGGCGTTTCATTTCTCAAAGCCCCTTCATGCCCTAGTTTGCACAGCACTGACCCCAAGGCAGGCCACAGTCTGTGACACGGGCCAAGCTGGACATTCCTGAGATGGAATTCGGCTTCTGTGCAGATTTCAAGCTGCGCTGGCTTTGGGACCAGCAGCAGGCAAAGCCCCAGCCCCTCCCGGGCCCTCGCTGTGTTCTAGGAGGCGGCTGGGAGGTTTAGGGGGAAGGCAGCTGCGACACCTGTCGGGAGCCCATCCTCCGGTGCTTCCTCCGGCTTGTCCTCGGCGTTCATGCACACGCACCCCAGCGCTGGCTTTGGGACCAGCAGCAGGCAAAGCCCCAGCCCCTCCCGGCCCTCGCTGTGTTCTAGGAGGCAGCTGGGAGGTTTAGGGGGAAGGCAGCTGCGGCACCTGTCGGGAGCCCATCCTCAGGTGCTTCCTCTGGCTTGTCCTCGGAGTTCATGCACACGCACCCCTGTGCTCCAGAATCGCCAGACGGCAGGCCCGCTGCTTCCTCCTCCGGGGCTCCAGCTAGAACAGCTGCAGCGGGGGCTTTGCACTGGGGCCGGGAACCGCTGTGCTGCCCCTGTGTCCCCAGCAGGGAGGCAGCTGGCGGGACTCCAGCTGGGCTGCTGGCATCCCTGGGACAGCTCAGGGCAGGCCTCTGACAAGTGAGTGTGAAACAGCCTTGGCCACCTGGCTGGCCTCGCTGGGAGCAGTCCTCCTGGCCGGTGGAGGGGACAGCTGCTGACACAGGAAGGAGAGGAGGTCCCAGGCGAGGCTTAGGAAATCGCTGGAGCCAGCTCTAAGCAGAGAACTCACTGGGGAGGTTTGCAGAAAGACACCATTGTTCTGCCTGTGTGAACGGCCAGGTGTGTCCAGTGGCCAGTCATCGAGTGTCTAAAGCCAAGAGCCGTCCGAGGCTGCTGCTGCCCTTCCTCGGGCTCCGGGGAAAGGAGTTTCCTCTCTGCTCCCACTTGGCCCCACGAGTCAGGTGGGCTCGACGCCACGCGCACGGGGACTTTTCTGCCCCGTCCTTGATGGACCAGCCGCGCTCCTGGCAACCTCCCCATTTAACTTTCAGGGTGATTTCCTCCTGACCAGACATCGGTGAGGTCCCTTTAAGAAGGAAAAGTATAAGCACCTACTATGTGCCAGGCACTGTGTTAGGCACTTTTAAATATATCCTCTTTCAGATGAGACTAAGGAATGGTGTGCCTTCGTAAAGGCCCCCAAGAAATGGATAAACAAAAAGTTGGAGATGAGAAGGTCTTTTTTCAAAAAAACCAAGGCAAGATTGTCTTCAGTCTGAGGTTTATTCTTGAAGACCCATCCCCTACAATATGCTTCCACCTCTAAATCTCTTCTCTCTACCTTGTGCTCCTTTGCACTCCTCAGATGGTATGGTTGGAGGGGACATCGGTGAGGTCCCTTTAAGAAGGAAAAGTATAAGCACCTACTATGTGCCAGGCACTGTGTTAGGCACTTTTAAATATATCCTCTTTCAGATGAGACTAAGGAATGGTGTGCCTTCGTAAAGGCCCCCAAGAAATGGATAAACAAAAAGTTGGAGATGAGAAGGTCTTTTTTCAAAAAAACCAAGGCAAGATTGTCTTCAGTCTGAGGTTTATTCTTGAAGACCCATCCCCTACAATATGCTTCCACCTCTAAATCTCTTCTCTCTACCTTGTGATGTGCTCCTTTGCACTCCTCAGATGGTTGGAGGGGTCACCTGAGTCCTTATAGAATTTGTGGACCAATAGGGTATGTATAACTTGCTTTTAAAAAATGTAAGTAAAGGGGTCTTGCTACTTTCTGCTTGTTGAGTCTTTTTGGCATTCATCTTCACAGCCAGCATCTCACTATTTATTAACAGGTTGGGGTATGTGTGTGTGTGTGTGCACATGTGTATGTGAGTGTGTGTGTGCGTGTGTGTGTGTGTGTGTGTGTGTGTGTGCATTTCCAGGTGTGCCCGTGTCCTCCTGCAGCTTTTCAAAAGGAAACCCAGTCACCCCACCACTCATTTGACATCTCCTCATGCTTCTAGTGCTTTGGCCGGACATCAACAAAGGGTTTTAAATTTTCCAGTGCTGACATGTTCAGGAGGGGCGGGGTCAAATTTTGAGGAGGGTGTGGGGAGGGGAGGGGGAGAAGAAAAGGACGTTTATTTTATTATTTATTTTAAATGTTTACATCTTTGTGCTGTACCAAGCCTGAATAGAAACAGATAGCATTAAAGTACTCCGTTCCTCTCTCCCTCTCTTTCTTCCTTATTTTTTAAATTAGGCTAATGATGCTTTTTTTGTTCCTGAAATGATTTGTGACTTTCGCTGTATAAACTGTATAAAAAGGTTCTGTTTTTTTAAAGATGGATTGTCACTCCTCTGGGGACAGTGGTCCCCAAGAAGTCTACATCGTGAGAGAACATAACAAAAGGTCCTGCCCTGTCCCCTAAAGACTGTTTCCTCTGTATGATTAAAGGTTTATTCCAGCTATTTTAGTTTGTGGTTACTTGCTGTCGAGGGAGAAAACATTCACCTTTGTACAAAGAGTGGGTATCGGGGCGTCTTTCCTGCGGTGGGAGATGTACATATGTATTTGGGTGTACAGTGGGAAGCGGGGAGCTTTGTGCGTCCGTATTTGAGATGTCGATGACGTGGCGTAAAGTCTGCCCTCAGATCCCGGAGGCGAACAGCCTGTGCGAGATTCCTGTAGCCCCGTGGGAACTTAGCACCGTCCGGAGCGTCTTTTTTCTCTATTGGTGAAACGGTCCCGTAGGAACGGCTTCCAAACAGGCAGGACCGTGAGCGCCACAATCTTTGTATAGTTCTGAACATTGAGGAGTATCTCTGCTCCGAAGCATCCCTGGTGGTGTCTTTGTTCTCGTTTCGTTACTTTACTGTAATACAAGCCTACAGTATTTGCACTAAAGAAAGCTTGTTAGAAAAAGCTTGCTGCTATGGAAGAAAGAACATATTGAGACTTTTTTTTCCCTTTGCATTTTTTTTTTTTTTTTTGGTTAGCTTTTCCACTTTCAATTGAGTAGCATTTTGTAGAATAAAATGAATTAAGATCGAAGAGCCTCTTCTGGTCGGTTTATTCCACCTTTTCTTCTTGCCTCTCTTGTCACTTCTCTTTTCCTTCTGGTCTTTTCTGCCTTTGGCTTTGTGGTTCCAGTTGGTGTCTCGGGTGGTGAGGGAAGCGGGGGATGGTCTGCCCGGAACCTCTTTCTGCAGCACCGGGAGGTGGGCTGCTGGGCGGGGCTCGCAGCTCCTGGCCTCCTTCCTCAGGCTGCTCTCTCTGGACCCTCCCAGTCCTGTTTCCGGCTTCTCTGGGCCTGATTCTCAGCTCGCTGCCAACTACCATGGAGGTGTGAGCCAATATCAGTTCAAGGTGCTGTCCCTTCCTGGGGGTGTTTTGTTTGAACAGGTTGTGTCTGGAAACCCAAGAATCTTCAAAGAAGCAATTGAAGGGATCACTCGGATGGTCCAGGGGGTCAAATGGGATCCCACACCGGAAAGGGCCCTGCAGACAACCAGGTCTCCCTTTTCAGTAGACGCGCGGTGTTGGGTGTGGCCACACAGAAGCATCAGCCAGGCCCACCCCCACCCCCACCTCCACCCCGTGTCCTGTCGACCGGGAGACCCAGGCAGATGGGGACTGCTGCTCTGTGCCCTTCCTTGGGGCGTGAATGGTGGGGAGACACACTTGTCCTTAATTAATGCTCGCAGTGTCGGCAGCTGCTGAGAATTAGCCCAAATCTGCCGGGACAAGCTGGGCCTGCAGGCCTCATCCTCTGGGGGACCTGAGAGCACCAACCGTGAGTCGGGGGGGCCCTGACTGCTCGGCTGCCCCCACTGCTCTCTGGCTGTTGGGGTTGGGAGAAAGCCATGGAACCTCCCCGAGCCTTAGTGTTCGAGTCTGTAAAGGGGGCGGGTAAGGATGGTATTAATGAGCTCCCTCGTCAGAAGGATCACGGCATCTCCTCTTTTCCCTTTTGAGAGGATCTGGGGTGCGAGGGGATGGGGTACTCGCTAGTGACCTCTTGCCCCTGAGCAGACAACACAGCGCCTGGGGCATCTTAGTGGACCTTTACTTTGCTGAGCAGCCCACGTGTCTCCCATGGTGTCCGAGCCCGGGAGGCAGGTGCTTCCGTGAGCCTCGGGGAGTGTGCTGTCCGCAGAAGCCAGCGTGCGTGCGTCTGTGCTCGCCTCTCACGCCAGGCGCTTCCGCGACATTTTATCTTCCAGTAACACTTCCAAGTCAGCTCTGCCTGTAAAACTTCCGCCTCTTCACCCCACGGCCACGGGAGAGGTGGGGTCACCGGGCACTAACATGGAGGCATTAGCAGGCCTGCTCTGTGCAAAGCATCCGGACAGCTTTCTGTCTTGTCTTAAGAAAACCAAGAAGGGCCCACCTCCGTCGGGACCCCAAACCTAGCAGGGTCCAACGGGGGGATTTTGCAGTCACCTCTCAGTCTGGGCTATCTTGATCCCAACCCGCTCAGGGACCTGGGTTGATTGCAAACTCTATTGATTACATTCCCAACAACATTGAGCTTTTAGGGATGAGCAGAGGCCACTCCCTCGGGAACGGTTTCTGGGCTAGGGGCCCAGGGACTCTCCCTTTCTGCTGGGCCTGGGCTGCCCCGAGTGAGCATGACTTGGTGGCCAGGCTGTCCTTGCCCACGGGACGGCCCCCACATAAGGGAAAGGGGAATTTCTCCAGGAGCCGCTGCTTTCCAAGACGTCCAGCCCCGTCTGTCTCTCGGGCGACTGAATGAGATGATGTCTGTGAAGACCTGGGTGAGGTGCTAAAAAAACAGGGAGGAAGCTGAAGTGGTTAAACCCCACAGCCCTCGGTTATAGAGTGGACGGATGCAACTTGATTATAGGACAGCCGCTGCGCTCTGGCTCCAGGGCCACGTTTGAAATGGTAGGGTGTGCGTTCCCTTTGGGCCTCTGTGTTTAAAGGATGGACGGGCTCCTTGGACGTGGGCGGCCCAGCCCCCGCTGGCCCCGGAGAGGAGGAGGGCTGAGGGCCTCCGCTCCAGGCCGGCCACGCACCCCATCTGGACGCTGCTCGTCCTCCTGCCCTGGCTCTCGTGACAGAGGTGGCTCCTCCCCTGACAAGGCAACAAAAGGACCGTCTGGGGAGCTGGGAGCTGCTGGGACAAGTCCACTCGCCTTCCTGCCGTGCAGCCGGCCTGCCTCGGCCTCTGCAGGACGTGCCTGGCGTGGGGAGGAACTCTGCCCCGGGCTCTGCCCTGGGGGTGGGTCCTCCTGCTTCCTCTCCACTGGGCCCTGGTGGACAGACGCCCCAGGGAAGCCATGGGGCTCTCCCCACCATCAAGTTGTCTCTGGAAAGTTCCACTTGTTTGATGGAAAAATAATAAAACCCTGCCTCAGGCTCCACCTCGGGAACTAGAAAGTCCTCAGTTGAACTAAACCCCTTCCCAAGTGCCTGTGCAGCCAAGGGAGAAACAAGCCCAGCGCGTTCGGCCCGTTTCCATGGGGCTCAGCTGAGTGTCTCTGAGGCCGAGGAGAACATGCCCCTGCTTATGTGGGGGGGTGGGGGGGGCCCATTCCTGCCCCAGGGCGAAGTTTAGGGTGCCATGGGGCCTTCGATCCGGGCTCTTTTGGCACCTAGCTCTGCCTTATCCCATAGGGCCTTTCGAAAGGGTTCCATGTTATTCAGGTGATATGTAACTTTTTTTATTGAGGTGAAGTTCACACAAAAAGCAACCATTTTAAAGTGTAAAACGTAGTGACATCGAGTGCTATATTCACCATGTTGTACAGCCACCACCTCGATCTAGTTCCCACACACTTTCCTCAGCCCAGAAGGAAACGCTGACCCGCTAAGCACCCCCTCCCGTTCCCTCCCCCCCTCCCCTCGCCACTCCTCTCTGTCCCTGGGCATGCAAACTTAGGCAGTTTCTGAGAATCCCAATGACTCTACTTGCTGAACTAAATACAATCATGAAACATTAGCGGGAAAAATAAACTAACGAATAGCAATATAGTTTGCTCCTTGTTTTAGTGTTTCACGGATTTCCTCGGCCTTCACATTTGTGGTCTTGTTCAGAAGCCCAAGAGACAAGCGTTGCTGAACGTGTTGGCAATTATCAGCTCCGGGAGAAATTCCTTTTCCCTTACGCACCGGTGTGTCTGGTCCACTGGCAAATATAGTCGCTACCTTGATCCGCTGCATAAGGCCTGCATTTGTTTCTCACAGAAAGATGGAACAATCCTGAAAAGACAGACTTTGTTCCCTGATGGAAACAGACACTCTTTTCACGCAAACCTAGGAGAACCGAATTAAATTCGCTTAAAAAATGAATATGTAGGCAGAGACCATCACCACCGTATCCTCCGGGTTTGAGGGGAAAACATCTCATTCATTCAAAAACTTGTTTGTGTCCCCACTAAGTACGTGCCGCCATGAAAGGCCTACAGGAGACAGTCGTATAGGACACTATCCGTGTGTGAGTTGTTTCGGCGTCTCTGCTGCCCCGTCAGATGTTTTCATTTGAAATGTCCACCGAGTACCCACCACAAGTTCCCTTGAGGAGGTCACCTCTGGTAGGAGTGGAAGGACGGGGAAGACAGACATTCAGGGTGGAAGGTGCTGCGTGGTTTGGCCTGTGGCGGGTGGGGGTTTCAGAGCAGATTCCCCTGGAAGGGCCCTGGGCTGGAAGAGGCGTGGATGTCTGCACAGGATGGAGTGGGGGGCAGCGGGCCTGGCTGAGGGAACTGTCTGTGCGAAGACCCAGTGGGAAAAGGAAGTGGGCGGCAGCTTTGGGGCCGGGGAAGGAGTCCCCAGTTGTGGAGCTTTGGGCTGATTTCAGGATTTGATGGAAATGTAATCTGAGATTTTGAGGGCCCAATGTAGTGCCTGTTTGTGCCACAGTGTCCTCCCTGCTGGGGAGGTAGAGATCACACACACACACACACACACACACACACCTGCCCTTGGCGAATGGGCTCAAGTAATTCCAAGTGCACTGAGCCTCTCAAAGAAGATGTATACGGTGTTGTGGATGTGGATGAAAAAAAGGCTTCTATGGAAAGTAACCTCCCAGGTGATCTGATCATAAGTTCCTAACTCGGCAGGTCATGGTGGGTAGTCATGCCCCAGGCACATAACATTTTAGGGAAAGTTTTATCTCCGCCTTAAGCAAGCCCTGACCATTGCTCTGGTGCATCTTGGTGAGCGCACCTTTAAAATACCAGAAGGTCATGCCCTCAAAGGGGGTGTTCACCCTCAAGAGAGCACATGACCTTGCTAACTATCCTACAATCGAACCCCTGCCGTACTTTCTCCCACCTCCACGTGCATCCCCTCCTTAATTTCAAACACATAAAAGAAGCTGCAAAACTTATTCTCAGGAGCATTTGAGGTCTTGTTCCCCGGCCAATGTTATCAGTTTGGCTGAAATAAACTCTTATCAAAATTCTCCACAGGTTTGGACGTTTCAACAGTGTGGTTCGTG